AACTCCACTGCCTCGGCAAATTTACTCTCATTCCCGGGTCTGTCAGGCTTCTTGAGATTACAGAACATTTTCACACAGCAGCGCTGTCAAAGCACGTGGAGGGCCCAGTCCCAGGCTCTGAGACAACGCCGGGAAATCCCAGCTGGGAACATGACACTGTCTCCTGGGAACACCCCGTTACAAACTGGCTGGCCAGTCCTTGAACTCACTTTCCACATACTCATCTTTCTTTTTGTAAGGTTTTTTCTTTTTTTAAGAGGACATCTTGCTATGTTGCCCACGCTGGTCTCAAACTCCTGCATTAAGCAATCCTCTTGCCTCAGTTTCCCCAGTGCTGGGATTTGTCATTCTTAACAGTTCCTCTTCCAGGGCTTCTAAAATACAAAAGCTACCGTACTAAAAAATTAGAGATGTCACACATGCAAGAATGAGAAAATAACACAATGCTAAAACAAAGGAAGGATAGTAATTTTAAATTCAGAAAGTAACTTCCGGACATTTTGACAGGTAAAGTGGATTGTTAACTTGATTGGCTTGGGATGGCCCAAGGAATTAGGAAAGTGCACTCCTGGGGTGTCTACATATGTGCAGGTGGGTCATGGGGCACAACCTTGGAGTCTGTATCTGGTCCCTACCCCTTCCTCTCTGGCACTGTCCCCTGCGCTGCTTTCCAGCTCCCAGGAACTCTGCTCCGCCACACCCTTCCTTCCGCCATGATGTCCCTGCCTTGGAGCCAGCTGACCATGGACTGAATCTCCTGAAAACATGGACCAAATTAAACCTCTGTTCCTTTAAACTGCGGGTGTTGGAGACTGTGTCTCAGCAAGCAGAAAGCTGAGCAATGTTACTGCATTTTATACCAAGTATTTCTTTTTGTTTTACTTATGAGCTTTACCAGAATCCAAAGCTGGGGATGTAGCTCAGCAGCACAGCACCTGCCTGGCAAACATAAGGTCCTGAGTTCGCTTCCTAGTACCAAAAAAAAAAAATCAGAACTACAAAAGAATCCAAGCAATCTAATATAAAAATGAATGAAGGATGGTGTATAATAACGAGATGGCTGGCCTTTACCTTCAGTGTCTCAGAAATTCTCAACTGATACAGCATCTTTGTTACTGATGGTGGGCCCCAAGGGCCACATCTGATTGTGTACGCCAATAAGGTGTCTCACAATGGGGCCGCAGGGCCAAGCGGTATCAGCTCAAACTCAAGGAGGTAGTTGCCCAAAACTGGGTGCTGAAATACAATCAGCAGTGTCCAAATAAAGGGCCCCAGTGAAAACTGGCTGCTGAAGTTCATGTGAGCTCCCCAGGCTGGCAGGACTCCGCCCACGTTGTCACAACAATGCCAGGAGGGTCTTGCGTCCTGAGGACAATGGACCCTCCCCTGACCTTGCCCTGCACACACTACCTCTGGCTGGTTTTCTCCATCTTCCCTATAATGACCTAACCCGGAGTGTAACAGTTCTAGGTTAGCTCTGTGAGCCTTTTCAACAAATTATCCAATCTGAGGGGGTTTCAAGGACCTATCGAACTTGCAGGTGGTGTCAAGGTGACAGCAGTCCTGGGGACCATGCAGGGGCCTTGTAGCTTGTCTAACTCCAGGAAGATGGAAAGAGGAGTCAGAAAAACGGAAGTGAGCAGTTGGACATACACAAACATACTCAAATTCCCTCAAAATTAAAGATACGCCAAGTTAAATACGGGTACTATTTTTCACCTGTCAGATGGGCAGTTAAGAGTCGCAACACCTAAGGAGTAAAGAAATAGTCATTCTCATCTCTCTTCTGCACTGTAAGCAGAAGCAACATATTGTCAACTTTTTACAGGGCAACTTGAAAATATCACAACTACAAAATTCTCTTGGACTCAAGAACTTCACTTGTAAGAACTTATTCTTGATAAACTTATACCAGCGACAATCACATAAGAGTGTTCCTTATAGAAATTAGAGGCCGGGCATGGTGGTGCACGCCTGTAATCCCAGCACCTGGAAGGCTGAGGCAGGAGACTGCTGTGAGTTCAAGGTCAGCCTGAACTACAAAGTGAGTTCAAGGCCAGCCTGAATTGCATAATGAGGCCCTGTCTCAAAAAGAAAAAAAAAGCAATTCGAAAACACCTAAATGTCAACCAACAGATGCCAAATACATATGGGACATAATTCTAGACAACATAAACCTTAAAATGAATTCATCTTTAATGACGGGAATGAAAAGCTAAACTACTCGAAACTGTGTTATAGACAATGACATCATCATGACACAGAGACCACGGCGGGGATAAAGAACAAACCAACTCCTGGGCCTTTAATCTGTCACTCACCAAGAGTGTGATTTGTTTTCTCCTAAGGCAGGCAGGGACTTGAAAGCGGTTTTTGCTAAAAACCGTGACTCTTCACTTGGACCTATAGAGGCCCTACTGGCAAGTAAAAGTGGGACAAAGCTTGACCTCCACTTCGTGAAACTGGATCGGATCCTTCCCAGCTTTGCATGCAAGCAGGGTAGTTGCTCAGCAAGTGCCTGCCTAAAAGCTGGCAAAACAAGGCTTCTTAGGCCTAAGTATACCCAGCCCACCTCCCAGACCTGCAGACAGGGGACATCTCTGCATGGAGACTGCTGGCCTAACCACAGCCTTCACCTCTGCTCACCCTGTCCAGCAGAGCCTCCAGGGTGGAACTGCCCCTCAAGTCATGAGTATCCACCATGAGCCACGCAAACAGGACTTCCACGCAAGGATCAGCTGGACTCCAGCCCCCTCAGTCCTCTGTGCGGTGGCCTCCTGCCTCTGCGGGCGGCCAGCCTGACCCCTTTGCCAGAGCGCGCCCCTCCCGCAGCTCAAGCTGAGGTCCTTTCCTTTTCCCATGCTCTCCTTTGTTAAGGCCGCCCTGATCGCTGTCAGCTCCTCAAGCTGAAGTCGCTTACCCTTTCCTCTTACTTTTAATTCATGCTTTTTTTTCCCTGAAAATTCATGCTTTGGTTTTAATTTCCATTTCTACCTAAAGTAAGGACACGCTTGCTGGAGACAACACCAGGAAATGCCACGCTCAGATACTGCAGAATCCACCTCCTCACTCAAGGACAGGACCCTACAGAACAATAATGCCATTAACGAAACATTCAACACTAAAAAAGTCCACTTAAAACTTCCACACATCCCGACAGTGGCCTTTCCTCTTCCGAGACCAGGGTGCAGCCGTGCATCTGGCTGTTTCCCCGTCCTCCTTAATCTAGAGCAGCTCCTCCCTCCGCGGGGTCCCACTGCTGCTGCTCATGACACCGACAGTCAAAGGGCCTGCCCCACTGCCTGTCTGCCCCGCTTGCTGCACTTGTCCTGTTTCTCATTTCTCCGTGATTCGATTCCGACTTCTGCGTAACATTTGTTATACAAAGCTACACAGACACTCTTGCTGCGCATCACACCAGGAGACATGTGAGGTCCAGTTTTACTCTGATAATTATGCTGGGTTTGACTGCTTGGTGCATGTGGGAATCACGTGAGCCCTCAATGTATAAACATTTTCCCTTTGTAATTAGTAAATAATCTGCGGCCTGGGGTATTTGCCCACTTATTTTTGTCATTTCCAGGTGGTTTACTATTGGGGATGATGATCTGAGACATCACATCTGCTCCCCCAAAGACATTTCACCAAGGCCCCGCTTACATCAGTGAGGACCTTCGGGACCACAACACGCCTTTGTGCTCATCACTGGAAACGCTCTCGTCCAGGCCTCCTCGGGAGCCACGCGGGACTGCCACGCGGGACTCTGCCACTTGCCACTCTGCGAAGCAGTTCCGGAAGTCCTTCGCATCTTTCACTGCACTACTGTGGCTCCTTCCACATCCTGAATCGATTCAAAACGCTTCCCTCTCACGATCAAGTCTGGCTTTGAAGAGCTGGAAGTTGCACGGTGCCAGGCCCAGTGAATAAGGCAGATGAGGACGCAGCGTCCTGTTTTTACAAGCTGCCCTCCCACTGAGCGGCACCTGCCAGCAACACTCACCAAAGTTTTGATCACACTTGGTAAAGACACTTGAAAAACAGGACTCCAGAACCGCTGCAGGAAGTGGGAAGAGGATTAAGTAAGTGCGCGCAAAGTGCGGGAGAGGTTTTGAGGGGGATTAATGGCAATGTGGCTTTTACTGCCCCTAAATTTGTTTTTTTAATAGTCACTGTACATGCTGCTCAAGTCCACTTTGGTATCTTTCAGGAATACATGAAAGTCTGGCAACGTACGTTTAGGACGTTTCTTTTTAAACCGATCCTTATGCAATTACGTCCAGTTATCTTTTACGTGGCTGCTGCAGGTGAGGTCATCCACTCCGACCAGACGGAAGCTGGCGTTACTTAGAAACAACAGGCCTACTGACTTCACCTTACTGCATCCTGCCCTTACTGAATTCTTTGAATTTACCGAAGTTTTTATCATTCCTTTTCCCAGATTTCCAAAATTTACTTCATTCTTGTTCCAAGGCGCATATCATGGACTGCATATACTTTCAGTTTAAGGAATTCTAATTTTCCCACACTTATACTTAGAACACTGAGACTTTAAATTACTCCAGGTCACTGGCACCCGCGTGAAACCCTACAGCACCGCACACTCGCATATTATCTCCCAGAATGTGCGCTGGCGCCCCCGTCTCCTAGAACGAATACCACTCAATCTACACACAAAGGAGGCAAGCTGACTCCGGAATCACTCGGCATCTCCACGCAATAAATCCCACCCCGCACCGTCTTCACACAGCCCTGGATGAACTCTCAATCGCCGTCCACCCTGTCCTTGGCCTAAAATCTGCTTATCCTCTTAGGAGTCTCTTTCCACAGAGCTGAGAGGGAATAGTTTCACAAAGCTCATGTGCATATGGAAGAAAAAAAAAAAAAATTAGAAAACTTTCAGGACAGAAGCTAGAGAAATTAACCCTCCTGTGAGCTCAGACGGACCCCACTCAGCAGAGCACTAGATGTCACCCAGCTGCGATTTCCCAAAGCAACGGTACCTTTGCCGTCTTCGTGCGGTTCATAATTTTGCCAAGATCCTCGACATCAACAACAGAACCGAGGCTCCGACGGTCGTCGGGCCCCAACTCTCCCTCGCTGGAGCTCTCGCAGGGCTCTTCCTCCTGAAAGAAACGTGTCAGAGCACTATTCAAGGGCCAAAGGCAGTTCTCTCACTGCCTCCCACACTGAGCTTGCTGCTTTTAAATTTCTGATTTAGAGCCAAGCGTACTTATGCACACTGTCCTAGGAACAGAGTTTAAAACCTCCACTTTTGCCACACCTATAATCCTAGCACTCTGGGAGGCTGAAGCAGGAGGATTCCAAGTTCAAGCCCAACCTGGGCAACTTAGTAGCTGAGTGAGACCCTGTCTAAGATGCAAACATAAAACAAAAAGACTCTAGATTGGATCCCCAGTACTGCCCAAACCAACAAAAAAAAAAAAATTGGTTTTTGAAAAAAAATTTGAAAAAAAATTATAATAAATATAATTATCTTTTAATTTTAAGAAAACACCATCCTGGATCTTTGGCATCTTGGGTCTCTGCCATCAGACTACTCACTGTGAAAGGCATCGCAGCGAGAGCAGCTAACACCACCCCTCCCCTCTAGCAAGGAGGAAGACGTGGATGAGGTAGAAATAGAAGAAACCATGAGCTGAGAGTGTAGCTCAAAGTAGAGCACTTGTCCAGTCTAGCATGTGCGTGGCCCTAGGTTTGATCCCCAGCAACAGAGCAAAGGAGGGAGCGAGGGAGGAAAGGAGGCTGAGGCAGGAGGATCGCCGTGAGTTTGAGGCCAGCCTGAACTACATCGTGAGACCCTGTCTCAAAAAAAAAAAAATTAGTCATTGGATCAGTTCTTCTAGTCCAGCGTTTCCCGGCCAAAGTATCTAAACATACACGTGTCTAGTAGGCTCTCCTGCTATGCTCATATTCTTACAATGGTGATCAAAATCACTACTGCCCGTCTGTCCTGGGCTCCTACCTCACTTCCAGTAAACTTCAGAGCCTTAGACACAGATGGCCATCGAGGATCACCTGCTGTCCCCTCCATCTTATCCTAGACCAGAGGTCAGTGAACCTCTTCTGTAAAGGGCCAACAGTAGAGCAAGCATGATGGCACAGGCCTGCAATCTCAGCTCCTTAGAAAGCCGAGGCAGGAGGATCACTAGTTTAAGACCATCCTGAAAAGTTGGCGAGACCCTGTCTCAAAATTTAAGAAAATGAAAAATACCCGGGGTATAGCGCAGCACTCCCTGTGTTCAAGCTGGAGCAATGAAAAAAGGAAATTTTTTTTTTTAATTTTAAAAAGGGGTCAGGCAGTAAATATTTCTAACCTGCCAGGATATATAATCTCCATCTGAACCACACACATGTCACTCTTGACACAAAAGCAGTTATGACAAGATATAAGTGAGGGAACATGGCTATGTTCCCCAAATCTTCATTTAAAAAAAAAGACAGCAGGTTGGATCTGGCCAGGGAGCCGGTTTGCTGACCCCCTTCTTAGACTTTCCTCTGTAATTTTTCCTCAGAACCTGTTATGGTTTGTGCCTGGATGTCCCCCCAAAGCCTCATGCAGTCATGGGGCGGGCTTCTAGAGTTTATGACTGATCCACGGTCCAATGCTGGGATTATGGGTGTGAGTGCTGCACCCGCCCTGGGGCGAGGAGCCTGCATATGGTGTAAGGGAGGGACAGTCTGCTTGCTGCCGCTCCTCCCTTTTGGCTCTTGCTGCTTTTGCTGTCTTCCGCCACCATGACCCCTGCCCTCTGCCATGTGCCACCCTGCCTTAGAACCAGCCGAGTATGGCCTGAAACCTCCACAGACTGTGAGCTGAGTAAACCTTTCCTTCCTTAATTTTCGGCATCAGGTAGTTTGTCCCAGCAACAAGAGAAAAGTAACAGAGACAGAGCTCAGCCTCCCTGGCAGAAACCATCGCATCAGGAACATAGTGACTCTCAGAGGAACCGATTTCATCTTCGCATAAAATCTCCACGCAGCTGCCACTAAGTTGCCTCTGTGACCTCAGGAAAGCTTCGAAGTCCTCTTCAATAAACGGAAGGGACAGTTCACCGCAGGCAACAGGGCTGGAAAGCTAGTGTGACACATTCCCCGCTCCTCAGAGAGCCTCCAGTCCAGCAGAAGGAACACGGAAATGCACACCGTAAAACGGTGCCGCTTCCATAAAGACAGAAGTAGCTCGGCTCAGAATCCACGGGCCAGGACGGGATGACACGAGCTGAGGGTCACCCTCACAGCCGAGGGGCAAAGTCACTGAGGCCGGGGCGGGAGGCCGGCAGCAACTGTAGCCCTTCAGGAACTACTTCAGAAATACCTGGGGAGGAAGGTGCGGGACAGGCCGCCAGGCTCCTATCTGTCCAGGATGTGCCCCAAACAGAAAGGCGTGGAGATCTGCTTTTCAGTAGCTCCCAGGGAAATGAGGCTGAGGCAGGAGGATCACAAGTTTAAGACCATCCTGAGCAATGTAGCAAGAACTCGTCTCAAGATTTAAGAAAAGGAAAGATACTAGGGATATCGCTCAGCCCTCCCTGTGTTCAATCTGGAATAATGAAAAAAAGGGAAATTTTTTTTTATAATTTTAAAAAGGAGTCAAGCAGTAAATATTCTAACCTGGCAGGATAGACAACCTCTGTCTGAACCACACAGCACATCGTTCTTGAAATTCTCCCTGGGAATGTGGAGAGAAGAGACAAGACTGCAGACGGGGACAGCCGTGAGCAACTCCCTGCGACACTGGGGTACAAAAGACGCTGGCCCGGGCCGAGGAGGACCAGCAGAGCGGAAGACCGCGCGCTCCAAGTCATTTATCACTCGACAGAGGTTTCAGCACTGAGGAAGCCAGTGTGGCCGGCGCTTGGTCAGGATGGGAAAGGACAGCGGGGGAGGGGGAGGAACGCAGGAGTCAGAATGGACGCTAAGAAGTGCGGCTTCTACACAGCGGTGGGAGCCATCACCCAGGCCTGACTCGCGCCTTCCAGGCCACTGTGAACGCTGGGAGAACAGAAGGGAAGAGGTCGACAGGGCAGAGCAGCCCCAGGCTGCTGCAGTAATCGTGTCCAGAAACACAGCCTGAGCTCACGGGGCGGGGGGGTGGGCAGTGGAGAGGAGAGGACTTGGGGGGCTGAGGAGGCCAGAGGTGAGCAAAGTGCGGGGCTCAGGCCACGCAGCCAGCGCGGCGGGGTCTCAGCGTGGGCCTCCTCCTACGCACCTTCCGCACCCCGACTGAGCCAGGCAGAGCTGATGGTCGGACCAGAAGCCGGAAGGCCCACACACTGGACGTGTCTACTAGCCAGTCCTCGGAAAACATTTGCCGGGCCTTGCTCTGGACAGATAACCACTCAGCCCTACTGAGGAGTTACGCGCAGGGGAACGGGAAAGGAACCAACCGAGCAAGGCTATTAAGCTGCCTTTTTAAGCAACTGACAGGGAGATACTGTCCACCAGGAGGGGAAACACCAGGAACAAACACATGGGGAGGGTGGAAATAAAAAGTTCCATTTGGGGTGCAGGAAGCCTTAGATACACAAGTACAAATTTTAAAGAGGAAATGGCACAAGGAAGATAGAACTCAGTGCAGCATGGTGGCACATGTCTGTGATCCCAGCAGTCTGGGACGCTGAGGCAGGAGGATCACAAGTTCAACCTAGCCTAGGCAACTTAAGGACTTGGCACAACCTGTCGTAAAATAGGGCTGGGGATAATGCTCAGTGTGAAGACCCTGGGTTCCACCCTGAATCAGGAAAAAAAAAAGAGTTAACTGACTTCTGTTACCACCCATGTGGCAGGTTACACATTTCAAACAACTGTCCTGTGGCAAACAATGAAACTGAATAACATAATACTTTAAAAAGTCATTTCAGGGCTGGGGATACAGCACCTGCCTGGCAAACGCAAGGTCCTCAGTTTGATTCCCGGTACAAAAAAAAAGCTCACTTCACACGCACCGGAGCTGGCAAAAATATACGGAATCCAAAGAGACTGAACATGAACCAAGAAGCAAATCCCTGGCGACGAGATGGAGCTGGGAGCCCGCTGAGCTCTGGGGACACTTTCCCGACAGCCGCCCGGGCCCTGGGGCAGAGGAGGGACAGGACACCTACATACAGCACAAGCTGAGGGAAGTCAGGCCCAAAGCCTGCAGGTAAGTAGAAAAAAACACAAAACCAATCGTGCAAGGGGAAGACTCTCAGTCCCAGAGTTAATCGTTCTAACATTCAGATGTTCCACTCTTCCACAAAGAAATCATGAGACATGCAACAAAACGAAAAGTACGGCCGTTCACAGGCAACACCGTGACTGTCTGCTCCGGGCTGAAGGTGCGGTGCGCCCTCAAATGCATGTGCTGCAAGCTGAGCGCTCGGGACCCTGCAGCTGGGTGGAAGGCTCCAAGGGAGGTCTCAGGTCCCAAGGGCAGAGTCCGCAGGAAGCCCTCCCTAGGCACCAGACCCCAGGCCGGGCCTGGACTTCCGGCCTGCAGTATCAATTCCAGTTCTCAGTAAACTACCCAGTCTTGAATATTCGTTACAGACTGAGACACGGACCTGAGGGAGCACGGACCTTGGATTTCATTAGACAAAAACTGAGGGCTGCCGAGGGCAGGAGCAGGGAGAGAATGACCGGGTAAGCGGTTTACTTTTGAGAGGATGAAAAGGTTTGGGAACTTCATGGAGGCGGTGGCTACATAAAAGTATAAACATGCTAACCACCACTGGACTATATACTTTCAAATGGTTCATTTTATGTTATGCAAATTGACTTCAGTAAAAAAAGTTGCCGGGCACGGTAGCACATGCTTGTAATCCCAGCACTTAAACTGAGGCAGGAGGATTGCTGAGAGTCTGAGGCCAGTTTGGGCTACACAGTAGATTCAAGGCCAGCCTGAACTGCACAGACCCTGTCTCAAAAAACAAACACACAAACAAACAAAAACCAGTTCTCTAGACTGGCTAGAAAAAGGAGCAGACAAATGGATCCGCTACTTAAAATGTGGAACAAAGACTAGTTTTTCACTTCCTTTTTTTTTGTTCAAACACAAGTGATTCCACTTTATCTCTACATGGGTACAGCTAGGCCGAGACCACTGCCGGGGCCACGGCCGGGACCGGAAAGAGAGCTGTGACAGAGAGAAGAAACCCTGACCCGGTTCCAGAGCGGGCAGACAGGACCCAGACGGCAGGTCAGGAGACAGGAAGCCACACTGTGAGAGCGGCCCTGGGACGGCTGCCAACTGACGCAGAGGAAGGACAGACAGAGAAGGTGTGAAGGTCTGGGACCGTGAGCGAGCGCGGAGGCCGGGCACACTGCGCCGTGGAGGGGGCGCAGGGAAAGCGCACAGCAGGATGCCACCCGGCTGCAAGGAGAATGAGGGCAAAGTGGCTGGAGATGCTCGGGAAAGGGCAAGTCAAAAACCTACACTGGGTGCAAAGAGGAGGTAGAGCAGTTCCCAGCATCCTCTGGAAAAGAAAAGATCAACTGGGATCAAAAGAATTGTAACGCGGAGGCCCCAGAGTGAGGGCAGAGCAAGGGTCACCAGAACTTGACCCTCAGAGCCGACGCCGAGGGGAGATGCCAAGGTTAGTGACAGAAATGGTTGCTGCCGTGGGAAGGCCCGGAAACTGCCAGGTCAGGGAGCTGCATGGAGCACTGACTTGGGTGTGTGAGCCGGAGAGTAAGGACAGGAACACAGGTGGAGAAAGACAATGCTCCTGAATGACACAGGTGACCAGGTGACCAGGTGACGAAAGGTAACAGCCGGAGCAGGGCGTGGTGGCACACGCCTATAATCCCTGCACATAGGAGGCTGAGGCAGGAGGATTGCTGTGAGTTCATGACCAGCCTGAGCTACAAAGTGAGCTCAAGGCCAGCGTGAACTGCTTAGTGAGACCCTGTCTCAAAAAAAAGAAAGGTAACAGCTGGGAAGCCACCAGCAGCGACGTGGACTGGGGTCACACGTGTCGGAGGAACTGGGGCATGGGGAGGACGCTGGGAGGGAAGTGAGGGAAGGAGGGACCCAGGTGGACCTGCAGCCTTCCGTCCAGGGACAATGGGACCCTTTGGGCTGGGGGATGTGACCTGGGAGTGACGGGACAGGTGCTCCCTCTGGGGCACAGTTGACTTCTCTCAGGCTCCCCTCCCTCCTGAGAAATGTGGTAAACACTCCCTGAGTCTAGCAGAGCAGCTGTTACAGAAGCGACACAGGACAGCCGACACAGGACAGCGCGGGGATTGGCGGCTTAACGCCTCAGGCTGCGCTCTCTGCCGCCTCCCTCCCTGGGAGCTTCTGGGAGCTTCACACTTCCAGCTTCCCGGGCGGTGGGGCTGGGCACTCCGCCCCCGGGAGGACAGTGAGGAGGATGCACACGCAGGCTACGCACCTTAGCATCTCGGGGACGCGATCCATCTGGAAGGTGCGACCCTGGCTCCGGCTCCTGAGAGCCACGCGGCTTGGAGTCGCACTTGCCTTTCTTGCAGCGGCCGCCGCAGGATTGGTCCTCTCCCTCCCGAAGCACCTGCAGCCGGGAGATGAACTTGGCCTTCCAGGCTGCGAAGTCGGCCTCGATGCTGCCGTGCTTGCTCCTCACCACGTCACAGTCACCCTCCCCTCGGGCCAGCACGCGACGCGCCCCGAGCATCCAGAGCCACTTGTCCACGCTTTTGCCAACCTGCGCAAGGAAGAGACGGGCAAGCCCAAGGTCACAACACCGGCTTCCAGCTTGGGACTGCTCTGCGCTCGCCCGCAGGGGTTCTGGGACCCACCTCTGCCGAGACATCTAAGGCCCCAGAAGCGTCCGCAGGAAAGGACTTCCGCCCCCGAGCTCCACCACAAGCTAGAAAGGGCTGCGTCTTTCACGCCCTAACTTTCTGCGCAGGATTTATACTTATATTTTTAGCAAAGGAACAGACAGACTCTTTAAGCAGACAAAGGGTTAGTAACCAAAGAAGAATTTGAAAACTACCACTGTAAATCATGGTCAGAACAAAGTACTCATTAACAAGGTAAGTTGATTCTGAAAACGTAACAAAACCTATGGGACCAAAGCCTATTTAGTAGTAAAGTACAAATGCAATCAGTTTGGCCAGACTTACGACTTCATAAACTCGAAAACGCATTTCATTGTGAGAGGCGGCAATTAAGATGAGGGACAGGGTTCACCAGGGACAGGGTTCACCAGGGACAGGGCTCGGAGTGAAAACTTAACAAGCTTCCTGAGCGGCAGGGCCGTGCAGGAAGTATTCATAAATCTGAATTTTCTCCTTCTTAGTCCACTTCCTTTGAAAATATGAGAGGAAATGTACACTGTGATATGACAATCCCATGAAATCAGATTAAAGCAAGCTGCCTGTCGTCTCTCACAGCCCACACAGGACAGACGAGCCCGGCGGTCCCCCGTGCACACACGAAACTTCTGGTGACCTTTCTGAACCAGGAAAGAATAAGGGGCTCCATGGTTTCAAGTACAGAGAACAGGATACAAAAGAAAAGGAACCAAGTTCATTTCATTTAGAAAAATGACTCAAGAAAACAAACAAAAATACTTAATGTTTTATTACATAAAAGACAATGAATGTTCTGGCTCTATTCCCTTTAAAAATAAATGATTTGAAGACAATGAGTTCACCTATATTAAGACTTAGCTTGGGCCAGGTGTGGTGACACAAACTTGTAATTTCAGCACTCTGGAAATCTGAGGCAAGAGGATCACAAGTTTAGGTCCAGCCTGGGCTACCTAAGAACTCAGCAAGACCCTGTCTCAAAATTAAAAAAAAAAAAAAAACAACAAAGGGCTAGACAAATCATGGAAATAGCCCAAATGCCTACCAACTGGTGAATGGATAAAGAAGATGTGGTTTTTTTTTACGCAATGGAACATTACTGGGCTGGGGATATAGCTCAGTGGCACAAGTGCCTGCCTGGCAAGCGCAAGGTCCTGAGTTCAATTCCCGGTACCAAAAAAAAAAAAAAAGAAACAATGGAGCATTACTCTGCCATAAAGAAGGATAAATTTCAGACGTTTCTAGTAAATGGAAGCACCTTGAGACCATAATGTTAAATGAAATAAATCAGACACACGCATACACACCAGACTATTTCTCCGGTGTGAGAAACCAAACGTGTACATAAGGACTACAATGTGTAACAGGTATTGTGAAATAGGAAGAAAATGTTCAAGTGCGGAGGGGGGAGGGGGAAAGGAAAGAAGGGACAAGTAAAAAAAGAGAAAAGAAGGGAAAAATACCAAAGGGTTAGGGTGCAGCTCAGTGTGAAGGCCCCAGTACCACAAAAAAAGAAAAAGAAAGGAGTATGGGCAGTAAAGATTATTTTTCAAAAGAATCGGCAGCTGGCAAAGCCCAAAGACTCAGGCATTTCCCATCCACAAGGTCCTCCTCGGGAACACGAGGCTGGACTTGACCACAAGGTCACCCGCCCTCAGACTCAGTAAGGAGCACACTTGCATTCACCGTACCCAACGGCAATGCGCCGAGAGCCCGCGACAGCACGCTTGGGTGCGGCAGCAGGTGGCCGCTGTGGAGTACCGAGAGCCGGCATGGTGGCACACGTCTGCAGTTGCAGCCTCTGGGAGGCGGGGCTGGGTGCTCTGCACCCGAGAGGACAGCGTGGAGGACACACGCGCAGGCTACGCACCTCAGCATCTCCAGGACACGAGCACAAGATTGAGCCCAGCCTGGGCTACTTAGCCACCTATGGAGCCCTTATTTTAAAATTTAAAACAAAAAAATTTTTTTTTGAGACAGGGTCTCGCTATGCAGTTCAGGCTGGCCTTAAGCTCTCTTTGTAGCCCAGGTTGGTCTCAAACTCACAATGATCCTCCTGCCTCAGCCTCCCAAGTTGTGGAATTACAGGCCTGTGCCACCAGGCCCAGTTTAAAATAAAAAATTTAAGACGGGACAGGGATGTAACTCAGTGCAAAGGCCCTGGGTTCAATACCCGTATAGCAGAAGAAAAGAATAAGCAGAGAAATTTGTTACTAATAAAGTTTGTAGATTTCAAATACACATACATGTCTGTATTTTTGGTTTTTAGCTCAAGTGGAATTTATCCCTGTAACTTCACACATACTCACCCTGTTGAAGTGGCTTGGGTAGGCAGAGTTTCCCAGGCCAAACACCGAGTATCTCATACCCTTCAGGTAGGTTTTGCCGAATCGAAAATCACTGGCCGCCTCCTCGAGCCATCTGCAGAACCACTCCGCGCTCTCAGGCGGCCGCCCGTCCGTGTACGTAGCAACCAGGAAGGCACAGACGCTTTTACTGGTGACCTAACCAAGACAGGGACCGTTTCACAGGCACATCTGACACACAAATCCTCAAGGACACTCAATACACAGATTGCCGTGGTGAGGAACAGCCTTTCTTAAAAAGCTGCCAGTCATGTCACGCTCATCTCTGAGGACACAGGGTGCCTTCACTGAGAGGACTTGTTCTCAAAAGTGACAGAACCACAGGCTGGCCCTGCACAGGGCAGAAAACCCACCCCTTCCTCCTGCCCGTGAGGGTAGCACAAAGTATCAACCTTTGCTAATTAATTTTCAGAAGTTATAATGGAACCTCAGTTCACAAAGTCAGTCCTCTCCAGAGGGCTGATGGCAAACCGAACTGGACGACAACCAAACCAAAGGTCAACACTAACCTAACCATTGAGCTTTATTTGGTTCTCGTCCAACTCAGGTGGAGATCAGAATCCTGCAAGAACCAAGTTAATGAACCAAGGTAGCACTGCATTTATAAAGCTGGGCATACCACTGCACATCTATAATCCCAGCACTCTAGGAGGCTGAAGCAGGAGGATCTCAGCAGCCTGGACAATTTAGTGGGACCTTGTCTCAAAATTAAAAAAGAAAAAAAGGCTGGGGATCTAGCTCTTGGTGAAGGCTCTGGGTTCAATCCTCAGCATTGGGGGAAAAAAGTAAACAAATAAATACATATATGCATACGCACACATACAAGCATTTATACACACACACATTATTTATAGAACATGCAAGCTCACTCATTTGCACACCAACACTTTCGTGGAGTAAGAAAGAAATGGGCAGAACTGCAGTTACACATTCATTTACCCACCCTGCGAGGACTGGCAAACCACAGGCAAACCGTAACTCATGGGCAAATCCGTTTTGATGCTTTACTGTTTTGTTTTTGTTTGCTTGCTTGCTTGTTTTTGAGACAGAGTCTGTGTTGCTCAGACTGGCCTGAACTCCTGGGCTCAAGCAACCTTAGCCTCTTGGAGGGGGGCTAGTAAGAATTAAACCCAGGGCCTTTGCCCTGAGCTGCATCCTCAGCCCTTTCACTTTATCTATTTTGTGACAGGGTTCTCACCAAGTCACTAAGTTGCTCAAGCTGGACTCAAACTTGCAATCCTCCTGCCTCAGCCTCCCAGAGTGCTGGGGGTTACAGGCGTGTGCCACTGTGCACAGTTCCACTTTCACCTGCTTAGTAGCTATGACTCGTGCCCCTTTTGCTGTTTCTTTTTTAAGCAAAGTTTCACCAGAACTCAGCCACACATACTTGCTTCTGTCTATGGCTATTTTGTGCCTTGGTGGTAGCTGCACGGCCCAGAAAACTAAAGATACTTTCTGGCTGGCCCTTTAAGAAAAAAATTTGGACTCCCAAGTGTTATGGCTGATATACTGTGTCAATCTGAGGAGTCTAGAAGCTTGACTAAGTAACTCAGCAGGTCTGCATCCCGGCCTGAAAAGGACGTGCCCTTCCTGCTCTAGGAAGCTGTTCGCTGTGTCAACTTGAGAAGTTAGAAGGCTGACTATGTGACTCAGCAAGGCGCCAAGGTGCCTACTTTGTATTCACCCTGAGCCAGCGCAAGAGGAGGGCGTGGAGATTATGTGAGTACTACACGCCCCCTGGGTGGGGTAGCCTGCTTACACGATAAGGGAGGGAAAGAGGCTTGCTCTGGCTGCCCCTCCTCCCTTTCGCTCTGGATGCCTTGCTGTTCCGTCGCCAGGAACTATTGCCCGTGAACTGTTGCCCTCTGCCATGTGCCATTCTGCCTCGGAACCAGCGATGGACTGAAACCTCCACAAACTGTAAGCTAAGTAAACCTTTCCTTCCTTCATTTTGGGTGTTGGATATTTTGTCTCAGCAAGGAGAGGAAAAAAAAGTAACCAAGATACCAAGTAACTGTTTCTCCAACATCTGCATCAGAGTCACATGGAGTATTTGTTAAAAGCAAGCCCCATAGCCAGGTATGGTGGTGCACACCTATAATTCTAGCACCCTGGAAGGCTGAGGCGGGAAGAGCACAAGGTCACACTTAGCCTGGGCAACTTAGTGAGTTCCCGACTCCAAATCTAAGAAAGGCTGGGGCTATAGCTCGGTGTGAAGGCCCTGGGGTCAGTCCCCAGGACTAGACAACCAACCAACCAACCCCAGGAGCAGGAACTGCATTTCGAATGAGCTGGCAGGAGATGCGGCTACTGCTGGTTTAGGGATCGTGCTCTGAGCAGCAGTGCTGAAAGGCAACTCTCCTCACTGGCCCTACGGGGCTACGAGGGAATGGATTTTCCAGGTGAAAGAATGAAATCCTGGTTGGCTGGGGATATAGCTCCGTGGTACAGTGCTTGCCTAGCAGAACAAGGTCCTGAGTTCGAATCCCAGCACCAAAACCAAAAGAAAAAAAAAAAGAATGAAACCCTGACAGATACTAAGTACTGTGGTGAGGTCACGTGACTCCGAGATCCCCGCCTCCAGAACTCTTTCTGCCTCCGAGCTTTCGGCCGCTTCCCACCGTCCTGGTGCACGGCACACCGCTACCAGTGACAATCTCCCTCAACAAAGAGATTCCAAGTGGGGGCCCCGAGGGGACTTAACCACCCACACTGCCCACGCCTACAGCTCCCCAGGAGAACCTAACACCCCAGAAGAATGGGGCCCAGCCCCACAGACTCGGTGTGATGCAGCACTTCCATTCACGCTGCGCTTCCACCCACCAAGATCCCTAAGCGTGAAAATTACATTTATTCCGCGTAGTCTATTTACTCCGGAAGTCAGAAAGCTGATCAAATTTCACCCTTAATTCAACAAAACAGTAAGACAATCACCAACCTCTTCTATCAGATGATCATCTGGATCATACTCTTTCAGATTAATAACTTCCACAGGCAGATCCAGGGAGGTAACTGCTCTGGCAAGAATGGCTGCAAATCCCTAAGAAGGAAAAAAAAATCAAATGAAGTCTTCAGTAAACCAAAAAGCCCTCGCGTACCTGTGCTGGCGAGAGAATGCCGCGTTCCCCGTGCAGCCCTTGTCCAGTGACCGGCATTTCCCGTCCGGACCCGGACCCGGACCCACTTTCATCTTCCTCGGACACCGCAGAGACCAAGAACCGTCTCATGTAGGCACGACTCCAGCCTCGCTGGCTTTGCATCCAGCTGCCCTGCCTGCCGAACGAACAACACACGCGCGCAGGAGGATGCGAAGAGCGGGGAGAATGGGAACGGCAAACAGAAGCGGGGACGCGAGAAGGCGCTCCCGGGAGTTTGGCCAACGCCAACAGATGCGAAGGAGCCTGAGGCACAGACAAGGGTCAAGCGGAGCTGATTTGTACGCGCACAGAGAGGGTCAGCGAAGGTCACAGGGCCTGGGCAACTCCTCCCCGGGCCCCCAGGCAAAACCTCTGCCAGCTCTTTGTTGGGGAAAGTTAAATGTGTGGAGAAAGCTAACGCTTTTGGCCAGATTCTACCTACAGTCGCTGGCGAGGCCCTGACAACTCCAGGACAGCAAGCCACAGCCAGCAGTGCCACGAGCGTGCCCAGGGTCACTGCAGCCCCTCCCGTCTCCGGTCACTGATTCCAGGGGTTTCATCGCAGGGCTGGGGCTGTAGCTCGGTGTAATGAGCCCCAGGTGATGAGCCCCTACACAAAGGGGCTAGGGGCTGCATGCGGGGGACACACGCAGGGCAGAGAACGAGCCAGCTCTGCTCACCCCGCGGCTCCTCACCTCACCTTGCGCTCGTCTCCCAGCGGCCTGCTCCTGAGCTCAGCTGCTCATCAGAGAGCGGTCGCTGGGAGCCCAGCAGTTCTGAGCTCTATACAGGGCTGCGGGGCTCGGAGAGCTGCGGCGGCGGCGTGGGAAACCCCGATCTCCCAGCAGGCCTCTGCCACTGGCCCGGAGGGAAGACAGTCTTGGACCAAGCAGTGTAAGCTTGTGCGGCTCACAGTAACTCCCGGCAGCGGGCACTGGGACTGGACAGCTCTGACCCACCTCAAAGATAAAGTTCACGCTTGAGCCACACCGGAAGGTGGACGGAGCCACGAGGCCGTGAGGTGGCCTGGGCAGGGGGACACTGCAGTGACAAGGCTCCAAGGAGGGACACGGGGCAAGGTCAGCAGGACTGAGGAGGACCGTGGGATGCGGCAAGAGTTAGCGCAGAGCCACACGGAGGGGCCCTCGGCCACTGGGAGCGGGGGGCCATGCGGGATCTACCCGGACAGCGATGTGACGTCACTGGGTGGTCAGGGTCTCTGAGGCCGTGAGGTGAAGGCACGGTGGGGTCAGGCCTGGGAGGAGCATCAGCAAAGCCAGAAGCCCAGTGCTGCCCAGGACAGCCGCTGTCACCCCGACAGAACACGAGGGCGGCTGGGAGAGCAGCAGCGAGGGAGAGAAGGAGTCAGAATGCAGACTAATCCAAAGCGCAGAGCAGCCCGGACTCGCTGGCAGAGTGGATAGAGGCTGCAAGAAAAAGAAGTCCGAGGTATTTGCACTACATGAGTGGAAGGATGAGGCTGTCACTTAAGGAAACGCTAAGGGTTAAAGTAGAACACGACTGGACAAACACTGGAAAACACAAGGATGCTGATTTTCAGACGCTTGTTAGACATCCACAGGAAGATCTAAGACAGGCCAGTGGGACAAGAGGATCGGTACAAATACGAACTATAAACCTGCAGATCAGCCTCAAATGCGGAAGTCAGCAAACTGAGGCCTACAGGCCACACGCGGCCCTCTGTTTGGTGTGTAGGTGGACTGGAACCCAGGTGGGCCAGTGTTTTTTCTTTATGTCTATGGCTGCTTCTGTACTGTATCAGCAGAGCTGAGTGGTCACAATAAAGATCATATGGCTCACAAAATCTAAATAATAGTTGCTAAAAGATCATCCAGCTGGGGCTGGGGATTTAGCTCAGCTGCACAGTGCCTGCCTGGCAAGCGCAAGGCTGTGAATTCACTTCCTGGTACGGGGGAAAAAAAACAACAAAAAAAAAGATCATCCAGCTGGCCAGGCATAGTGGTGCACGCCTGTAATCCCTGCACTCAGGAGGCTGAGGCAGGAGGATCGTTGACAGTTCAAGACCAGCCTGGGCTACAAAGTGGGCTCAAGGTCAGCCTGAACTGCATAGCAAGACCCTATCTCAAAAAGACAAAAATAAATAAGTAAATAAAAGGTGGATAATAAAGTCCTGCAGAGGGTGCTATAAGAGGACTCTAAAGTGTGCACCGCTACGTAAAGATAGCTGCAAGGACTACGCCCTGAGACACGCCTATTTTCAAAGGTCAATGGATGAAAAGGCACCGGCAAAAGATACTAAAAGAGACCGACAGGAAAAGAATCAAGAGGACAAGTTTCAAAGACCTAACCGAAGGGAGTATCTGAAGAATAAAGGACGTCACAGAGCTAACAGGTCAAGGGAGACAGACTGAGACAAACAACACGGAAGTCACCACGCAGGTACGAGCACGCGAGCCTGCCGAAGGTAAACAAGGGGGAAGAAATGAGAGACAGCGGGCACACACGGAGCTCTAGAGGAGTTTCACTGGAAGCGAGCAGAAAATGAGATGGTGGCTGGGCCACAGAGCCAACAAGCGACACGTGTGCCGTGCCCGCTCCTGCCCGGGGCATCCCGGGAGAATGTACAAGGCTGTTTGTGCAACAAGGGAAGATCTACCCCGCCTATCCCATCCTTCTGTCCTCTGAACACAAAAACACAGATGCCAAGAACAGGGTCAGCCCAGGCAGCAGGGAAGCAAAGACCAACAGCAAGAAAACTGAGAACGCAAATAAGTCAGGATCAGAAAAAGGAGTTCAAAAAAATACATTCCTAAACTATGAACAAGATACGACTACAAAAGTTGAAGAACAAACAGTAATTTTAAAATAAGGTTTGAGAGCTACCTCAGAGGCTGCAGCAGGGTCACAAGTTTAAGGTCAACCTAGGCAACACAGTAAGAATGTGTTTCACACAGAAAAAGATTTGGACAGAAAGACAAAGAACAATGAAAGAAAGGATTTGACACATAGAAGAAAATGTCTAACATTCAACTAACAAGAGTCCCAAGAAGAAAAACTGAGAAGAAATCGATCCTTGCCCGGGGTGGTGGCGCCCGCCTGTAATCCCAACACTCGGGAGGCAGAGGCAGGAGGATCGTTGTGAGTTCAAGACCAGCTTGGGCTACAAAGTGAGTTCAAGGCCAGCCTGAACTGCATAATAAGACCCTGTCTCAAAAAAGACAAAGAAAAGAAAGAAATTGGTCCTCAAAATGTAGCAGAATTAATGCACACAAACCTGTAAAACAAGACTCCAAGGGTTCACAAGAATGGCTGAGAAAAGGCACAACCTAGTCACTCACAAAATGTTCAAACATTAAGGGCAAAGATGATCGTAGAAGCAAAAGAAATCAAGTAGTCAGCTACAGAGGGATATGCGCATTCACCTTCTCATCTGCAGGGCGACCCGCTAGAAGACAGGAGATACAACTTCTATGTTGTGGGGGGAGTTTCCCATAGTCTTCTACACACAGCTAAAGGGGAATTAATCCAATGTGATCCTGAGCCATTAAAATGTTCACAAGATACAGCTTTAAAATGGAAGACAGGGGCCAGGGATGTAGCTCAGTGGCGCAGTGCCTGCCTGGCAAGCATGAGGTCCTGAGTTCAATTCCCGGTACCAAATAAATAAATAAAATGGAAGACAGCTATCCCAGCCATACCAACTATGATGCAGACAGAAATATTAAACCATTGAGATGTGAGCTTGTCTTATGTAACTAATAAGGATTCAAAGTCCTTTTTATCATTGATAAATCTAGAAACACGGCACCAGTAGGTTATAAAGAAATAACTCTCTAGAAATGGGTAACACACATTCTCCGTACACCTGGATCTGCAACCACCTTTTTGATCTTTTAAAAACACACAAAGAGGACCAGGGATATAGCTCAGTGGCACAAGTGCCTGCATGACAAGCACAAGGTCCTAAAGTTCAATTCCTGGTGCAAAAAAATTTAAAAATTAAAAAAATAAAATAAAAACACACAAAGAGAGGTCTGAATAAAGGTTTTTCTGAGTAACATAAAGCTACTCAGGTGCCTTTCTGCCTTTTTACAGGTTTTTCACCTCCACTGCTTAAGGCAGAACTTAATAAACAACCTTTAACTATAGCTAGTAAAGCACCTCCCTAAATGCTAGTCCTAGTGACATATAGTTCTACACAACATCCACAAGAGGGCAGTACAATCCCCTTTTGCATCCTACAAAAATAACTTGATTTTTTAATAATTCACTTTCATGCTAGCCTGACTTAGAATCTCTTCCTAGAAAGCGCTAAATAGCCATGACCTTCATACCAAAGAAACAAGTGGATCTAAATACAATCAGAGAGTGGGAGGCTTCTTTCAGCTAGATACCTGCACATGTATCTATTTTAACGTCTTTAATGCTTTTGGCGCTATTAAACATCAAAACACATAGCTTGTGAAAGTAAGAGCCCACACTGATCACAACTGCTAACATTCTCTTTTCTCCCCCAGGCATCAGCAATGAACCCGCTCCGTTCTGCTAAAACAGAAGCTCCAGAACAAAGACCCTTCATGACAGGGGCCATCAGACCCAAGCTACCAGCTGTCCTTGGGCAAAGAAAAGAAATCCTCCCATGGAGCCAGAAAGGAAAACCGCATGATGGAAAAAACAAGGGAGCAAGATCAAAGAAAATCAGAAGTATAAGTCAGTTCACTCCTGAAACATGCTTTCGAGGAATGTTGTTAAAATGCCAGCAAACCAAAGAAAAGCCATCACATAAAGTTCTTACTTTTGCGGTACCAGTCTGGGAACCGTAGAAAATCTTCACTCCAGATACAAAGATTGGCTTCTTTTGAAGGGAGATAAAACCATTTGGCATCAAATCCTGAGTTGCTTTCGGAACAGACTTGTCCTGGGAGTTCTTGGCCTTGAAAATAAACAACTGCACAAAAATCCATGAACTCTCAATCTTTTCCCAGCTTCAGCAGGGATGAAAATAAGAACAGATACTGATCCACCCACTTTATTTTTTATTCTCTTATCTTTCTGAATCCCCAAAGTAAACCTACAGAGTCTTTTCCCTTGGTGTCAACCAGCCTTCTGTCCCTGTCACAAAATACCTGGGACAATGAATTTAAAGGACCAAAGATTTATTTGGGCTCAGCCCATGGCAGGTTGGCTCAGGATTTGGAGCCTGTGAGAGGCAGGACAATGTAGTGGGGAGCAGAGCTGCTCACTTCCTGGTGACCCGGAAGTAAAAACAGCAAGAAGAAGCTGGTGTCCCCACACATCCTACAACGGCAGGGCCCCAGCGAGCTAGCGTCTGCCCACTAGGCCCACACCCCTAAAGTTCCACTGCCTCCCAGAGCACAAGCCCAGTGACCATACCTTTAGCATATGGCCCTTTCCAGAAACATTTATGATCCAAACTATAATACTTGTTATCTGAGGGGGGCTGAGTCCATGACCCTTCAAATACCCAAACTGACACTCAACCTTATACTACCTTATAAGAAACGGTGCAGTATTTGCATATAACCTAGGCACAACCTCCCTTATACGCTGAAATAATCTCTAGACTACTTATAGTAACTAATACAACGAAAATATATCAATAGTTGTCATACTGTCATTCTATAGTCCGTTACAACTTGTTCTCTAAAAGGGTAAAGAAGAAATTGTTAAGCATTTTTTAAAAACCTAGAGACCAAATATAAAAGTGATTTAAAGTTCCTTTTAGCTTCTCTGTATGTCTAAAAGCATTAGAAAATTTGCACTCTAAATTCTTCATATATCTGTTATCTAAACATTCCCTTTTTAAAAAGAAAAGAAGAACCATACCACTTACCTGCTTCTTGATGGCGATTTGGAAACAAATCCAAAGGCTAATGCCAAAAGCAAAGCCCAAGTAAATGTAAAACCTGTTTATCCATAATGATAATAAAGGCGAGCAGAGGGTCCACACATCCAAAGAAGAATCTAAGTTTAAAATGACACATACAGGTAATTTTGTTTAAAGTCACATATTCAGGTTTCTCTCTCTCTTTTAAAAATTAAAACACAAAACCTATCTTCACAATCAACAGCCCAGCTAAGAAATCTAATTTTAACACTCTAATATAAAAATAAAAGCACTTGACAGGTAATTATAAATTGATTTTGTTTTATGCTTACTCCCTATGGAAAGCTTAAAATAGTACCAAAAGGTAGCACACGCCTGTAGTCCCGGGGTTAAGCAGGAGGAGGCTGAGGCAGGAGGATCGCTGAGAGTTCCAGGCTAGCCTGGGCAACATAGTGAGTTCGTGACCAGCCTGAACTACACACTGAGACCCTGTCTCAAAAAAAAAGGTAGTAAAGGTCCTTCCTTTTTTCCTACTAAAGTTTTTAAAATTTTAACTTTGACCTGCGTCGCTAAATTGCCCATCATGGGCTCAAACTTGAGATGCTCCTGCTTCAGCCTCCCAGACTGCTGGGATTATAGGTGTGCTATCACATGTGATCGACTCTACCGCATTTTGAAGACCTGCGGTTGCTAGTAAAGGGCTCTCAAATAGTTGACCTCACGCCCCACTCTTCGCAAGGACCCGGCCGCAAATACAGAACCTGGGGGCAACTCTGAAAGGCGAAGCCTGAAGTCTGAGGTTGGCAGGTGTTGCTGGCAAGAACCAAAAGTCCCAAGCAGGTGGGGAAGCGGAAGGGTCTTCTCTGCCTTTTATTTGGGGTGAGAAGCTTAGTTGCTTTCCAAACGCACCCCCAGCCTCCGAAGGAAAAGCGGAGAGCGGTTCCCCTCGCCGCGGCGCGGCCGTGCCGAGCAGCGCCCGGCGCCCCGCTCGAAGGAAGGAAGGGAAAGACGCCACCGCTCCGCCAGCCGGGGTCCCTTACCCATTCCCCTCGGAGGCCGAGTCCCGCAGGCCGACGGGAAACCTGGCTGTAGGACCTGGGAAGCCTGGTGGCCGGCGCGGGTAGCGGGAGCCGGGTAGCGATACCGCTCAGCATGAGCTGCGTTCAGTTTCCAGAGCTCAACGAAGCCATGCCACTCGCAGGCCCTCCCGGATTGGTCGGAGCGGAAGGAGGCGGGCCCAACCGGAAGCCCTGAGCTCAAGGACAGGAAGCTAGGGAGCTCCCAGAGCCACTCTGAATGGCTGAGGGAAAGGGGCGGGCTCAGAGTGAAGCACCGCCCAGCATTCTAGAAGTACCTCCCACGGCTGGGGAGGGGGGTCCTTTCAGCTCCCCTTTATTGGCTAAGATTGGGAAGGGGCGGGTCGTCAAGAAATGAGTGGCATTGGGCAGGGGAGAGTGAAGGGAGGCGAGGGCAGAGAGGGGAGTAAAGTCCCCGTATGCAGTGTGTGGGTCCTTCTGGATCTCAAGAGGGAAAAAGCGGCTGTAGAAAGCCATAATTTAGAGGGGCAAAATTAAAGTATGAAATGGCTATTCCATGATATTGAGGAGTTACGGTTAGCCTCATTCGGTATGTGAAAGGTATATACTTAAGTATTAAAGGCTAAAAATGTAACCTGATTTAAAGTACTCCAACGAAAAAAAGAGGGGAACCGCGAATGGCAAAGTGTTGCTAACTGTTGAAGCGGGGTGATGGGGTTTCGTGGTGCTTTTTTCTTTACTTTTTTTTTTAAATGTTAAATTTTTCCCTTAAAAGGTTAAAGTGGGTGCGGCCCCTGAAAGCTGAGGGACCATGAAGTCACAGTGCTGTTTCCACCTGGTCACTAAACATCAGCCACCAGCCTATCAGAGCTCATTAACTCATTGGCTAAAGTAAACACGTCAAGAAAAAGCGCCTCCCTGTTTGGGGTGCGGAATGAAGTCGTAAAAAGCCACAATGCGCAGGCGTAGTTGTAAAAAGCCATAGTGCGCAGGCGTAGTTGGTCACTACCGCACCCTGTGACGCCTGCGCAGTGAGCCCGCCCCCGCACTGTGGCGGAGGGTGGAGGCTCCCCGCGTGCTGCCCGGTTGGTGCAGCTCCGCGAGCCGCGGTGTCGTTCCAGCAAAGCGTGGGTCTGCCCTGACCTGCCGGACCTGAGGTCTGTGAGCAGCCACCATGTCGATCTTCACCCCCACCAACCAGATCCGCCTCACCAATGTGGCCGTGGTACGGATGAAGCGCGCCGGAAAGCGCTTTGAGATCGCCTGCTACAAAAACAAGGTCGTCGGCTGGCGGAGCGGCGTGTGAGTGATCCCCGTCGCGTGTCCTCCGAAGCGACCTCGCTGTCGCCAAGTCGAGAGAACGGCCAAGCTGCGGGCTTGTCAGGGAGGGAGGGGAAACCTGTTCCTGGCCCGGGCGGGGGAGGTCGCTGTCCTTACCCAGCCTGGCGCCTGAGCCCGGCGTTCCCTTTCTTTAGTTGGTTCGGATTGGGTTGTTGGTTTGCGTGTGATGAAAGCTACAGCCAAGAAATCGCACGGTGATGGTCCCTTTCCCGGAGTGATGTTAAAAGACTACGATCCTAGTCTTCCAAATGCTATCGTGGTTATCATACCTCTGATGTCACATCCAGGAACCCCGGGGAGTCACCGAAGTGCGTAGTGTCTTCACTGCTGCCACCTAGGGGCCGGCGTTGAGCGGCCGCCTCCAGCCCCACCCCAGATTCCTACAGGAGCCAGTGACGTTTTTCATTTTCTCCAGTAAATGGGAATACACATGGGGCTGCGAGTTTTGAAACTGTTCCCTCGACACTAAGGGTCTTTTAGGAATCTCTTGTATCTTGCTGTTATGTCGTTGCCCTCTTACATTTAAATATCCAGGTGTCAAGTGTATTCACATAGGCCTTTGTCTCCTGCACCACTTCTTCTCCCCAGGGAAAAAGACCTCGATGAAGTTCTCCAGACCCACTCGGTGTTTGTAAATGTTTCTAAAGGTCAGGTTGCAAAGAAAGAAGATCTCATCAGTGCGTTTGGAACAGACGACCAAACTGAAATCTGTAAGCAGGTAAATTCTGCCACCTACAGTATAAGAGACTCAGCATTCATTTGTAGCAAGTTTTAAGGGTGGGACAGTAACACAAAGTGAAGTGCACAGTGTCAGTTGATTTGGTTTCATTCATTGCTTGAGTTCTTTTGTTTTGTTGTTTGTGTTGCTTTGGTTTGGTTTGGTGGTAGTGAGGATTCAGCCCAGGACCTTCAGGCTGAGCTACATCCCTAGCAGTTCATTATTGTGAGACAGGGCCTCACTGAGTTGCCCAGGCTACACTGGAACTTGTTGATCCTCCTGCTTCAGCCTGCCAGCATGCTGGGATTCCAGATGTGCACCACCACACCCAGCCACAATATCAGTTCTAATAATAGAAAATGTGTGTGTTGTTGTAAAAACCTCCAAAACTTAACATCTTTCTAAAAAATTATTTCGTTCTGCACAGTAAATTATTTTTATAATGTGGTATGACTGATAAATGAATTTCTTAATCAAATTTCTTTGTTAAGATTGTTCCTCCTCCCTTTGGTATCCAATCCTCAAGAAGTGAGAGTTTGAAGCACAATATAATCCAGTGTATCCTTTAGAGGAAGCTCAAATCACTCTTTGTCAGTGACCTAAGAGAATGAAAGTTAATTTTCTCCTCAGTTACTAATTCTTGTGGTTATTTAACAAATGTGTAATAAAGGAATATTTTGCTTTCTTAAATTTGTTGGGGTGTTTTTTTTTTTCCTTCAGATTTTGACGAAAGGAGAGCTTCAGGTGTCAGATAAAGAAAGGCACACACAGCTGGAGCAGATGTTTAGGGACATTGCAACCATTGTGGCAGACAAATGTGTCAACCCAGAGACAAAGAGACCATACACTGTCATCCTTATTGAGAGAGCCATGAAGGACATCCACTATTCGGTCAAACCCAACAAGAGCACCAAACAGCAGGTGAGTGGTGTGGGATGTCTTTAAACAAAATAAGAGATTACATGGAAGCAGATTTTTTTTTTTTCCCGGTACCAGGAATCGAACTCATGACCTTGCACTTGCCAGGCAGGCGCTGTGCCGCTGAGCTAAAGCCCCAGCCCCTGAAGCATATTTTTAAAGGATCCATTTTGACTCCTCTTTTTAGATTTTTTTTTATACTAATTAATTTACCATAAAAGTTACCCCTATTAGAGGGTAGGATTCATTAGTACATTCAGAGAATGTACTAGTTACTTTTAGTAACTAGTTACTAACTAGTTACTAGAATGTAATTACTTTTCTCTCATTGCTGAGACAAAATATCCAACACCCAAAATTAAGTAAGGAAAGGTTTATTTAGCTCACAGTTTGTGGAGGTTTCAGTCCATAGTTGGCTGGCTCCAAGGCAGGTGGCATGGCACAGGGACAACAGTCCAAGGCAGCGGAAGACAGCAAGAGAACAAGGGAGGAGCAAGCCTCTTTTCCTCCTTTATATTGCATGCCAGTCACACCCACAAAAGTCCAAGTCCTGTCCTTCCTCTTCCACAAACTGAGGATGTTTACAAAGTAAGGACCCTGGCCCCCTGCCCAAGCACTTAGTTGAACTTTTAAATTTTTCAAGTTGATACAATGAACAACATCCTAGAGCAGGAAGAGCATGTCCTTTTCACCCCAGAATGTAGAACTGCTGAGTTACTTAGTTAAGCTTCTAGATTCCTCAGGTTGACACAATGTATCAACCATAAACATCTCCTGTCAACCTGGCAACCAGACATATTTCTTTAAACCAGTTTCCAGATACAAAGACATTATTCTTATGGGTTCACAACTTAAACATTATAACACTGTAACACAGGTTAACAATCCTTAAGAGCCAGTATTAAGTCTGTCAACACTATATTATGTTAGAACCATTAACATTTCACCCCTGGCCCCCCAAGGACTCAGGCACATCCCTTTATGCAAAAGGCATTTAGTCCATCTGCAAGAGTTGCCAAAGACCTAACAGTTTCAGCACTGCTGAAAAGTCCAAGTCCCAAGTCACCTCCTAGATGTACAGGACACTTAGCTGGAAGCCCCTGTGCAAATGAAAACAAAGTTAAACACTTGCAACATTCAATGGCATGAAGTAAACATTTTCATTCCAAAAGTTACAGACAGAGGGATACAAATGAATGGGACCAAAGCAAGTCCAAAATCCAGCAGGGCAAACGATAAGTCCTGTAGTTCCACATCCAACATCTGAGGCAATCTGTGGCAAATTGTGAGCTCCAAAGGGCTTGGGTGGCTCCACCCCATCACACTTCCGGTGGTTACAGCTCCCATGGCTTCTTTCTTAGGCCCACTTTACTCCCTGCTTGCAGCTTCCCTAAGATGCTCCACGTTCCTGGCTTTTCCAAACTTCTGGGGTCTCCACTGTACCTTTGGCTTCTCACTCAGCTTCACACACTGCCCTCTCAGGGGCACACTGCCTGGTTACCCAGGCCTTCTAAAATCGAGGTAGAAGCTTTTTTAACCCCATAACTCTTGCATTCTGCATATCCCTAAAATCAGCACCACATGGACGATGCCAAGTCTGCTGCCAGCTACAGCAGTAGCCAGGCTTTCCTCTCTCTTGGCTGTAGGGGTCGAGTGCCTGAATCACTGGGCACCCTGAATCCAATTCTGAGGAAAAATTTTCTACATTGCTGCCATTCTGGAACATGGTGCTCTGTGGCTTTCTTCTCAAAGCAGTCTTTCACTTTTGCAGTTTTGAGGCAGAAAAGGGTATAAAGACTTGCTGCTTTAAAATGATGCCCTCAGGCCATCTTTTCTATTCTCCTGTTCCTGCTCGTCAGTGGAGATCTCCTCACCTCTGTCTTTGCAGTCCATAACTTTACTGGAGCTTCCCTTCTAGCTAGACTCCTAACATTTTAAGTCATTCTGCTGGGCTCTTTGTTCTTGATTCTCAACATAATTTTGGCTAAACACTCCCAACAATAGCCATGCCACTGCCTCAACATTCAGTTGCCTTGAAATGTCTTCTGCCAGATTAATGAGTCCACTATCCCTAATCTTAGTCTCAGACAAAGTCTCTGGACACGAGGAAAATGCAGACAAACTTTCCGCCAAGTCATAACATACATCATCTGGACTCCAACAGCCAGTTCAGTCCTTCTTCCCGGCAGAAACCTCCCAAACCTGGCCTTTACTGGCAGGATTTCTACCAGCCTTCTCTGTCTACTGAGCTCTGACCAGAGTCTCTCATAGAGAACAACCGAAGGCCTTGTAGTGGGTCTCTTTCAGATGAAATCTCCAAACTTTTCCAAACGCTTCCCACAAGCCATTTCTAAAGGCTCTTGAACCGCGTAGTCACAGCAATGACCCACTTTTCTGGCACCAAATTCTGTCTTAATTACTTTTCTCTTATTGCTGAGTCAGAATACCCAATGCCCAAAATTAAGGAAGGAAAAAGGTTTATTTAGCTCACAGTTTGTGAAGGTTTCAGTGCATAATCAGCTGGCTCCAAGGCAGCGTGGCATGGTACAGGGGCAACAGCCCAAGGAGACAGAAGACAGCAAAAGCACAAGGGGAGAAGCAAGCCTCTTTTCCTTATATTGTATATGGGCTGTCCCCTCCACACCATCTCCATGGTGTCCTCTTCCACAAGCTGAGGATGTTTATAAAGGAAGGACCCTGGCCCCCTGCTGAGTTGAACTTTTTTTTTTTTTTTTTTTTTTAGCTCATATTTTGTCAAGTTTTTAGTCCATAATTTGTTGACACCAAGGCAGGGTGGCACAGTAAACATGCATCGCAGGGAACAATTCTCCAAAAGCAACAAGGAGCATGGAAAGGATGATTTAGTTTTTGAACTTCTCAAGATGACACAATGAACAACATCCCAGAGCTCTAAGGGCATGCCCTTTTCACCCCAGAATGTAGATTTGCTGAGTTAGTTAAGCTTCTAGACTCCTCAGGTTGACACCGTGTTATCAACCGTAAGAGTTTTAGAAGCCATATTTCAGAACCTTCCCTGTTACATAATTTGAGAAATTTCCATCACCCCACCCCAAAGAAATGCTACTAGCAGTTGTTCCTCCTTCCTCCACCTTTCTCTCCCTGGCTGGCAATGATCCACTTCCTGTCTCCTCAGACTTGTCTATCTGAACACTTCAAATAAATGGGCTCATGCAATATGTGGCATTTTCAAGGTCCATCTGTGTTGTAGCATGTGCTTGGGGGGTTGGATTTTTTGGGGGGTTGTTTGGTTGGTTAGTTTTTTGAGACAGGGTCTCACTGTGTAGTTTAGGCTGGCATTGAACTCACGGTGGAGCCCAGGTTGGCCTCCAACTGTCAGCAGTCCTCCTATCTCAGCCTCCTGAGTACTGGGATGACAGGCATGCACCATCAAGCCTGGCTACTTCATTTTTTTTAATAGCTGAACAGAACCCTATTGTATAGCAATACCACATTTTTTTTTATTCATTCACCAGTTGTTGGACATTGGGTTTTTGCTTTTTAGCTATTATAAATAATGCTGCCCCAAAATTCATTACAAGATGTCATGTGGACATATTTCATTTTTATATTTTTTGGTACCAAAAATCAAACTCAGGTCCTTGCACTCACTAAGCCGGCACTGCACTGCTGAGCTACACCAGCCCTTTTCATTCTTTTATACCTGCATGTTCAGTTACTTGTTGCTGAGACAAAATACCCAATACCCACAAGTTAAAGGAGGAAAGGTTTATTTGAGCTCACAGTGTGTAGAGGTTTTACTCCAAAGTCAGATGGCTCCAAGGCAGAGCAGCAGGCAGAGGGGCATCACAGAGGAGAAACAGTCCATGGCAGGCATAAAGAAGCAGCAAGCAGCAGCAGCCTTCTTTGTGTTCCATCCAGGCTATGAGCCTATTGATTGGTGCCCCTACACCCAGGGTGTGGCTTCCATTATCCACATGCAGAACTGCAATTGCACATCCTAGATCCAGCCACCACCTCCAAAAAACTCATGAACACATGAGGCTTTGAGGGGACATCTAGATACAAGCTGTAACACTGAGTCTTACAGTAACTGCATTTAACCTTTTAAAGACCTGCTAAACCATTTTCCAAAGCAGCTGCAGCATTTTCCTTCTTACCATGAGTGGCGGAGGAGCCCATGTCCTGGGCAACACTTGTTATTGTACTGACCACCTCTTTATTATAACCATCTTGGTGGTATCTCCTGGTTATGATTTACATTTCCCTAATAACTGCTGATATGAGCATATTTTCACATGCTTATTGATGTTTCATTGGTTATCTTGTGAGGAATTATTCAGATTCTTTGCCTTTTGTTGTTGTTGTTGTTTTGAGACAGGGTTTTGTGTAGTTCAGGCTGGCCGTAAACTCCTGGCAATCCTTCTGACATACACCAAACCCAGTGTTAGGACTTATATCTAGATGTTCCCCCAAAGCCTCATGTGCTCATATGCAGGCGTTTTCACAGTGGCTCGGTGTAGGATGTGCGAAAACTGCCTCAGCCTCCTGAGTGCTGGGTTACAGGTGTGCATCACCATGCCCTGGTCAGATTCCTTGTCCATTTCTTAACTGATTATTTATCTTTTCATTGTAAGAGTTCTTTCTAGATTCTGGGTACTACTTCCTTATAAGTTGGCAAATATTTTCTCCTATTTTGCATCACTTTCTTTTTTTTTTGTTTGTTTGTTTGTTTGTTTGTTTTCTTCCAGTACCGGGAATTGAACTCACGACCTTGCGCTTGCCAAGCAGGTGCTGTGCCGCTGAGCTAAATCCCCAGCCCTGTATCACTTTCTTGATAATCTCTTTTGAGGCACAGAATTGTTTTAATTTAATGATAGCCAGTTTCCCTGGGTGTTTTTCTGTGGGTACTTATGGTCTTCTTGAAGCCAGGAAACTTGCCTAATGCAACTGGGTAGTGCTGCTTTGTTTGTGGAGATGGGAAGGGGACTTGGGGTAGTAAGAAGGACCAAGATTTCATATGTGTAAGAACCCAGTTCCCCGTGATGAATGTATTCAGTATGTATCACAAACATACACTAACAAAAAAGTTTTTAAACAGTAGCTGCTTTAACACTTTATAAAGTAGCACAGCAGCAGAAATTGCAGATGGCCTCGATTTTGTCCTGATAGGCTTTGGAAGTAATAAAGCAGTTAAAGGAGAAAATGAAGATAGAACGCGCCCACATGAGGCTTCGGTTCATCCTCCCTGTGAACGAAGGGAAAAAGCTGAAAGAAAAGCTCAAGCCACTGATCAAGGTTATAGAAAGTGAAGACTACAGTCAGCAGCTGGAAATGGTAGGATGAACATATTCTGACTTCTTTGCTTCCTGGTACCAAAATCACTTACATTCTAGTTGTAAATGTGTAACAAACGCTTAGAAGTTGTAGATAGTAAATTGTGGCTAGAGATGTCTCACATAGAATTAGGTAAACTTGGCAGGGTCTAAGAACATTGTACTTAAGCACACTTAAGATTTTTTTATTTGGTTTTTGGTTAAAGTATTCGTAACAGTATTATGTTGGTGATGTTCATTTTAGGTGATAATGAGTTTTAAGGTGCTGTCCTATTATGCATCAATAGAGATAAGACTAAAAGTTGATCAGCCTTGTTTACCTCAGAACACTTTAAAGAATCCACATTAACAAATTAATGAGCTAGCTATAAACCCAAGTGCCATGGCACATACCTATAATCCCAGCTATGTGAGAGGCTGAGTCAGGAGGATCTCCAGTGCAACATGCCAAGACCTGTCTTTAGAACAAAACCAAAACCAAAAAGTTAGCTATAGAATATTGTTGAGTATCATGAAATAACATATATAACACTATTTGAAGTTCTCTTTTCAAAATTTTACACATGCTAAGTAACGGCGTTCTTTCACATGTGCAAGTGATTTTATTGAACAATAAAATTTAATGTTAAATTTTAGTATAAAGACCATAATCTTCTCATCCAAAGCCTTCTTTTTACAGTTACGGAATCTGGTTTTGTTGTGGGGGAGAGAGGAGATTGTTTTTGCTTTGTGGTGCTGGGAAATGAACCCCAGGTCTCAGGAACGCCAGGCAAGATGCTCTGCCCGAGGCCCGCGCAGCAGGAAAGGCGCAGGAACTGGTGTGGACTCTACGGTGCAGAACAGCAGGGGCCAGGCTGTTGCCTGTGCTCTCTGCGCTGATAGCGCAGGCAGAGAGCTGGCACTGCCAGAGGACGCGAAGGCTGCGCTTTCTCTGCTGTTGTCGGGCCGCTTGCAGTTGGATGTAGGTCCACAGCTGTGTTAAATGTTTCAGGTGTGTCTCATCGACCCGGGCTGCTTCCGAGAAATTGATGAGCTCATAAAAAAGGAAACAAAAGGCAAAGGTTCCCTGGAGGTCCTCAGCCTGAAAGACGTGGAAGAGGGGGATGAGAAATTCGAATGAGCTTCAGCGGCTCCTCTCCACAGAACACTAAAGCAGACGGCTTCACTGCTGGCACCACTCTCTCCTTTCTGTGATTTGCCAAAACCTGCTCAAACTAGTTGACCTGTTCCGGCTCTGATTTATCGTCTACATAAGTACAGTGTGGGAATGATTTAGTTTTAATTGTAAGTTGGGGTTTTAGGCAAAAGTAAAAAAACCAAGAATACAAAGTCCCAAGCAGCAGTTTGCTGCTATCTTCTGCCCTTCCAGCTTTCTACAGTGAAAGGCGAGAAACCTCTTGTGGATAAGAAGTTAAATTTTGGGGGCTGGGGATTTAGCTCAGCGGCAAAGCGCCTGCCTGGCAAGCACAAGGTTGTGAGTTCAGTTCCCGGTACCGGAGGAAAAAAAAAAAAAAAAGTTAAATTTTGTACACCATAGAAGTAAAATAATTTGGGGGATCTATCTGTGATTTAAAAAAAAAAAAAAATATTTGCTGGAAAACAACATATGACTCATTTCTACTGTAACCTGGTGCAGGAGTGACTACTGTATCATGTGCTAACGTAACGTTCAGTGAATACTTCCCAATTCTCTGAATACATGATGACTGTTGCAGGACTTAGGTAATTCTCACTGAACGTGCTGCCCTAGCCTAGATTCTTCTTGGTAAAATAGAAAGTCATTTATATCTAATTCTTAAAGTTTATAATATATATTAATATAGCTAAAATTATATGTAACCAATAAAAGTGTTATTTTATTAAACTACGATTTGTGTTTCCAGACACTTTCCTAAGTTGCTTTCTTTTCTGTCCATGGCAGGGCTGGGAGTTAGGAGGAGGAGGGCAGTCAGTATGCAGAGTCCTGTTCTGATAAGTAGTTGATACAGTCAGTGAATATTTATTTGGGATTAGCTAATTTTAATTAGTTTACTATTTCAACACCTTATCCTCAAAAGATGCACTCTAGAATATCAATTAGAGGGCTGGGGATGTACCTCAGTAGCACAGGGCATGAGGTCATGAGTTCGATTCCCAGTACCGGAAAAAAAATACATAAATTAGAGATTTACTGAAAATAAACAGATGTATTTTGTGAACAGCAGTGTCTCTGAACTGAAAAGCAGAGTTCTTGAACAGGTCTTGATTGGTTTAATAGGCACACAAAGTTCCCTGCCAATGCAGGTTCTCACAAACATCTTGTTTACTTCCGTGTTTCTCTACTAGTACTAAAAGAAGTAGTTTTGTTTGGTAACTCAGGAATGAGCAGTTTCTGTTAACACTGAAACTGAGCTGTTTGATCTAGTCCTGAGAAGACCTCCTCTAGCTGCAGTTTCACTGTGTGTCTGTGTGTCTGTGTGTGTATGCAGTGCGCACACACTCGTGCAAGCATGCACAGGGGTTTATCTTGGTGCTGGGAGTGAACCCAGAGCCTCACGTGCACTGACTTAGACCACCAGCCCCACTCTGCTCAATCTGCAGTCGCTGCTGAGTAGTGGCACACGCCCAAGGTCCCAGCTGCTTGGGAGGCTAAGGTAGGAGGATCACTTGAGTCCATGAGTTCAAGACCAGCCTAGGCAACAGTGAGGCCCACCCACCTCAAAAAGAAAAAACAGAAGCTTTGCACAGTGGCAGTATCGTAGCCAGTGAGGTTTCTCCGAGGCACAATTCTTGCTACTTGAAAAAGAAAAAACTTGGACTCCCGGCCTGGGGGTTTCCTGGAAGGAGGGCTTCCGGCGCACAGGGAGCTGCGGGTGGGGAGCGCCAGCCTTCTAGCTCACTAGCTTCCTGCCTGCTGGCTCCCGGAGGGTGGGCCCCCAGCGCACAGGGAGCCTCGGGTGGGGAGCGCCGGTTTTTTGGGTCTTTGGACTGGCAACTCACTCCCGGCCTTGTGGTTTCCCGGAAGGAGGGCTTCCGGCGCACAGGGAGCTGCGGGTGGGAAGCGCCAGCCTTCTGGCTGGCTAGCTTCCTGCCTGCTCGCTCCCGGAGGGTGGGCCCCCAGCGCACGGGGAGCCTCGGGCGGGGAGCGCCGGTCTTTGGACCAGCGACTCACTCCCGGCCTGGGGGTTTCCCAGAAGGAGGGCTTCCGGCGCACAGGGAGCTGCGGGTGGGGAGCGCCAGCCTTCTGGCTGGCTAGCTTCCTGCCTGCTGGCTCCCGGAGGGTGGGCCCCCAGCGCATGGGGAGCCATGCGGCGGCGAGCACTATTGCGCGCCGGCCCATAGGCCGGCCGTCACCACTCAATTAGGATCTATCATGACACAAAGAAACAGTGACACAATTGGTCCACCATGCACCGACTGCAGTTGCCCACCCACGGATGTGTGTGAATCACTGAAACTTTGAACAACCCCTGGGAATATATGCCATACACGGGCCACTCTTGCTCCTGCCATTGGGAACCAGAAAGGTCCAGAGCCAGCGGAGGAGCAGCTGCTGAACAAGGACTCAGAGAACATGAG